GGGGAGGACCCCCGCGCGCGCGGCTGGCTGAGACTCACCCGGGGCGGGCCTGTGTCCCCATCCCGCCCCCGGCTCTCGCGGCGGAAGGGCGGGCTAGCGCCTTCAGCACCCGCGTGCGCACCAGAGGTCAGCGATGGACACACCCCTGCACCTCCACCCCTGCCGGGTTGGCCCCAGGGAGGGCAGGATTCGAGGGTCCCTCTCGAATGGAGGAGACCAGGAAGCGAGTGTGCGGTCTTAGTCACGGAAGCCTTGGGCAGGCCCAACTCTGCCTCTGGATACTAGAGTTCAACTTTTGGAAGAAAACTGTTTAAGATTTTTGTTTGTTTTTATTTTGTATGAGGAGAAAGTGGGAACTCCTCAGGGGGATGGCCACGAGGCTCTCTCTTCTCTTCCATTATCTTCTCCCGATTTTGAGTGCCCACGCACACCGGCCAGCTAGGGATCCCGGAGGTGCAGTTGGCCATATGGGATCCAGCCACCTTAATCACAGCCACTGTCTGGCCCCTAAGGAAAACCGGTTTTTAAAGGGAGCCGGGACTGGTTGGTGTTTGCCATGGTACCAGGAAAAGGGCCCTACTGGGACTCGGCTGTGATTGGGGTACCAAGAAAAGGGCGCCACCGCCAGGAACTATCGTTTTAGTAAGGTGCCTTATGCCAAGGAATTTCACTGAGATTCAGAGCCCATGTCAGGTGCCCCTCCTCCTCTCTGTCTGAGCCATAGCCTGTTCACACCAGCGCTCCTGCCATCCTAATGTTGCCTACGAGGTTTCTTTTCTGCTCAGCAGCCCTCCTCCCTGGACTGTGACTCCTTTCACTCCTCCCTTTCCTCTCCCCTTTTGTTGTGTACTTTCAACAAGTACTTACCTAGTGTCCAATGAGTTTTGGCCAAGCCCTGAAGGCAGAGTGTTGGCCTGGCCGTGAGCCAGGTGGATGAGCTTCACTTGGAATCCAGGAACTTCCTGCTTCTAGAACTGCCGGTGTAATGGATGGGGAGATGTTGGCCTCAGCCCCTCCACCACCAGCATCCGTGCGGGAAAACACTGGAATGGCCCTAAGAACTGAAATTTGCAGTCTGCCTCTTTTCTGACTATTTTACCCACATTTGTTAATTTTTTGATCATTTATTGATCAGCTATGGTTTAAATTATTTAGAAATATTCTCAGCTGAGTAAGCCTGAGAGAATTCACCCCAGAATGGACATAGGGTTTCTGCACCTTTTTGGCAGACCTCAGTCCCCAAAGGTCAGAACCATCTTCATGGTCATGACAGAGAACAGCTTCTTTGGTAGGTCCAATTCTGTGGCATGGTTTTGGGAATTCATCCTGGGATTTCAGCTTAAAATCTATTTCCTCAGCCCTACAAATGTTTTCGTGAGCAAAGTATACCCTTTAAAATATTATTTTTTAATTGTTTTTCATTCATTCATTCATTTCAATGTGAACAGAGAGAGAGAAAGCAAGCCAGCAGGTCTGGGACTTGAACCATGCTCAGCCATGTGGGAGTGTCCAGTGCCTTAACCACCAGACCACCTGCTGGTCCCAGTATAACCTTTAATAAAGCTTTTTCTATTTGAATCAGGTAAAGAGGATTCTGTTGTTTACCAATAGAAATCCTAGCTTGTCCAATGTATTTTAAATTTTTAAATTTATTATAATTATTTTTATTTGCTATAGGACATGTGTACTCACCAGAGTGAGAGAGAGAGAGAGAGAGAGAGAGAGAGAGCAAGCACCCTTCCAGGTCCAGGACTGGAACCATGGTGGGCCATGTGGGAGTCCAGCTCCTTAACCACAACGCCACCTACTGGCCTCTGTATTTTAGATTTAATGAAGGATGGGAAACATATTTTGAGTAACACATTTTATGTATTCAAGATGATGACACTCTTTGTCCTTGGTAGACAAAGGGCTTTAAATTATGTTCTAGTCTTTTCAGTTGATAATAAGAATTCCTAAATCCAGGTAGTTAAAAAAAACAAAAAAACAAAAAACAGGATTATTAAATTCAGTATTTGAAGGTCCAAGATTGAGGGGCCGCATCTGCGGAGGCTCTTCTTGCTGGTAGATAACATAGTGGAGGGCAGGAGTTTGAGCAGGGCAGTGTCTATGTCCATGTATCTCTGACTGTCTCTTTCAAAAAACTCCTTATAAATGAATCAGGATTTGGAGGGACCAGCAGGTGATGTGGTGGTTAAGGCACTGGACACTCCCACGTGGCAGACCATGGTTCAAGTCCTGGACCTGGTGGCTTGCTTTCTCACTTTCCCTCTCTCTCTCACAAAATTAAAAATAAATGAATGAATAAATGAAATAAATTATAAAAAAAAATCAGGATTAAATTATGGAGGACACGCCCTGATGCTTAATCACTTCCTAAAGGCCCCACTTTTCAACAAAATAAGGAGATTGATACACTACCCTCACAACACCTTTATAATGGCTCACCAAATTTTAACACATGAATTTAGTGGGAGAGGCAACACATTAAAACCATACCAAAAGGTAGAAGATTAGTACAAATGCATTAGTTAATTTGCTCATCTGGAATTAACACTGTATATATTATATTCAACTAGAAAGATCTGCTTAACTTTCTTAAGTGCTCTTGGGCAATGGATGACCCCCAACTCTATGTAGTTGCTGCTGCTTCCATAAATTTGAGGACCCCAGGAATAAACACCAGCCAGACCTTCTTCATTCTTTGCCTATTACAGACACTGATCTACTGATGTTGGTTGGCTGCATTTTGGGAACAAATGAAAGAAGAGAGAAGCAAGCCACTCCTTTTTGATTTTGGGGGGAAGAGTTTGCCATAGGGGGTGTACACTTGCCAGAAAGAGACAGAGACAGAGGGAAAGTGAAAAATTACCCTCTCGAAGAGACAGAGACAGAGGGAAAGTGAAAAATTCCCCTCTCAGGGGACAGCCACACCACCATCCCTACTTTTCCATTCTCCTCTCAGGATCTTGGGCACATGTGCAAACACACATGTACGTACACTCACACAAACACATGGTGTGATTTTCAAGCCACCAGGTTCTGGACTTAAACGAGTGGGCCAGGTGGGAGTCCAACACTTTAAGCACAATACCACCTGCGGGTCCCTCCACGTTTTTTTGTTTTGTTTTGTTTTGTTTTTCTTCTTTTAAACCACCTATATGGCTGATGTCATTTAACAGCCACTGGAAAGATTGATTTGAATACTTTTGCTACCCATGCTCCCCTGCATATTTGTTCTGAAACTTTCACACTTAAAAATAATCATTCAAGGATGGTAATAAAAGCAAATCAAATGGTATATTTGTTTAAACAATTTATTTCAACACAGGCATTGTTTTACATTTACACTTTGTTGCACATTTATATGTAGAGAACAGGGCTGAAAATAACTGTATAAATGGATTATTTGACAAAGTTTTAACAGAAGTGCTTACAGATACTGGTTTTAAAAACAGAATTCCCAGGCTAAGTGGCAATACATTCACAAATTTGTTTAGAGAGCAAAATATTTACATATTTACACTGAACATTTAAGTGAGATATTCTGAAACACTATTATTAACAATAAACTCAGTGATAAGACCTCTTTAACCCTTTGGGTTTCTACAGAAGATTTTCATTTTATGGAGGTGTGAATCTTCTAATTTGATACCTATCTTCACTAAAACCCAAGTGGATTCTTTCACTACCTCCAGTACACCTACTTAACTCTTGCATAAAGTAACTTTTATTAGCTTAACACCAACCAAACTCTCCTTCATAGCAATTGGAGTTTTAACATCAATGTATTTGTAATGCAAGGGTGAATAATTTGGAAAGAAGTCTCTAAAAATTAAAATAATCTCAATAAGCACATTTTAAATGGACTTTACAATACAAAATTTGTGGTTATAGAAATCTAACATCTAAACAAGTTAATCATTTAAAGGTACTTATTGATTCCCCTATGATTTATTCCATTTGTGAGTATTTATTTTAATAATGGTGATATCTTCTGGAACACAAGTTATGAATATAAAAATGATTATTATGAATTGTCATAGCTATACAAAAGTGAACATTAAAAAGCAGCAGTTTGTATGTTAAAATACATAGATGTTTGCTATACTTCTTTAACGAAGCATTTTATAAAAGTATAAAGCTATTTAAAAGGTGCTATTTTCATGAATTTTATGCTTTCTTGATTCTTGAGCCATATCAACAAGTAAACATTATAAATAGTGCTGCTGAGCATTGGTTATCAATTGCCTGTGAATTTAGACAGTGGATTTCAGTGCAGAATTCAGCCCCAAAGCAGTTGTTCTTTACTAAAACTTACCTGTTTATATAGCCTAAACTCACTGAAAAATAAGCTAACTTCATTTCATTGTTTGTAGCGTACACAGACTCAGAATAGTTTCTGAAATAGAACTTGCAAGCTGATCATTTAAAAAACAAGAATGGGACCACCATGTGACGTGGAGGTTAAGGCACTGGATACCACATGACCAGCTCTGCAATCTGAGTCCCAGACTTGGTGGCTTGAGAATTATGCTAGGTGTGGGTGCATGAATGCCCCAAAACCCAGGAGGAGAATTGAAGAAAGGGAATTTGCAGCATGGCTATCACCCCTGGGGGGATGATTTCTCACTTTCTTTCTGTCTTTCTCTCTGGCAAACATACATGCTCTATAGCATAAACTAAAAACAAAACAAAGCAAATCAAGAATCAATATTAAAACATAAACTCTGAATATCTTAAAAATACATACAAATACATAGAAAACATAGGTCATGGCTTATGAAAAGAAAATTTTACTTTTTATTATTTATAAAAAGAGGAAAGGTAGAATTTACAAACATACGTTAAACAAAAAACAAAATATACTATACAAATTTGAATTGAAAAGTTTAAAACAAGTTGATTTAAAATTAGTCTCTCTGAGTTCAAGATAAGCCAAAACTTGTTCAAACCAGTTGACAGATCAGAAGAATACCTTTTGTGTTAGTTATCTCATCTTTATTAATTTGGAGTTTCATGGGAACAACGTAAAGTTGCTTTGGCATTTTGTGTCTTGTCAAGACAATGGGTAGGAGGATAATAATATAGTTTTTTGTTACATTTCTATCAGTTCCAGATCTCTATATACTTCACCAACACCTATCATTGTCTTTAATTTATATGAATGAAACACACCAGATGAGAAAAATGGAAAATAAAATTAGTCCTGGGCTTGATTAAAAATCAACCTTTAAAGGCTGATTGAGTTATTAACTCAGTCTTCACAAACTGTTTCAGAGGAATTCCTGGGAGTACTTCTATAGACTTACTAGGGATTTAGCTTCTCATATATCCCTTTGACAAATGCTTTAAACAGATACTTCCTGGGTCCCATTATGGATATAATAATATGCCCTTATAAAAATTCCTTATCTTTGTTTGAAAAACAAACATGCAAAAAAACTCTGATGAGTCAAAGATATTTTACTCCATTGTCATTGTCTCTACGTTTTATTTAATGCCATGAGTACAGGGTGTGGACAAGAAGAACAATACAGAATTTTGCAGTTGGACTGGGTAATTAATAAGTCTTATAAATGCTTGAGATAATGGGGTTGTAAATAATAAGGAAACGAGTTATGGGGAAAGTAAAGGAGAAAAACAAAAGTGGACAGTGAATTAGAGATTTAAGCTGAGGGGAGGTAGGCCAAGAGCATATATAAAGGGAGAAAATATCAGAGAATCCCTCCAAACAAAAATTTATTGTTCTAGAACTCAAATTGCACATACAGGGTGTGGAGGAGGGTGAGGAAGAATTTGGATTGTTGCAGAATAGACACTGCCCAGACTAAATCTATGTTTGTCTTCCTGCAGGGCATACATATTTCCACTATAAGCTCTGAGTGAAAAAGTTTTGCATTTTATTGAAAAAATCTCACAGTTCTGAATATATCCCTTTGACAAATGCTTTAAACAGATACTTCCTGGGTCCCATTATGGATATAATAATATGCCCTTATAAAAATTCCTTATCTTTGTTTGAAAAACAAACATGCAAAAAAACTCTGATGAGTCAAAGATATTTTACTCCATTGTCATTGTCTCTACGTTTTATTTAATGCCATGAGTACAGGGTGTGGACAAGAAGAACAATACAGAATTTTGCAGTTGGACTGGGTAATTAATAAGTCTTATAAATGCTTGAGATAATGGGGTTGTAAATAATAAGGAAACGAGTTATGGGGAAAGTAAAGGAGAAAAACAAAAGTGGACAGTGAATTAGAGATTTAAGCTGAGGGGAGGTAGGCCAAGAGCATATATAAAGGGAGAAAATATCAGAGAATCCCTCCAAACAAAAATTTATTGTTCTAGAACTCAAATTGCACATACAGGGTGTGGAGGAGGGTGAGGAAGAATTTGGATTGTTGCAGAATAGACACTGCCCAGACTAAATCTATGTTTGTCTTCCTGCAGGGCATACATATTTCCACTATTTCCACTATAAGCTCTGAGTGAAAAAGTTTTGCATTTTATTGAAAAAATCTCACAGTTCTGACTCTTTGTCATTTTCATCTAGGTAGTATTCATCATCTGTGGTTGTGTCTGTGTCACAGTCTGAGTCCACAGGGTCCTCCTCATAGATATTAAGTGGTTCACTTGGAGATAAACCATCTGATGGCAACTGACTGCTAGGGGAATTTGAACTCAATGACTCTGATGGGTTGGGAGGGTTAATTACATCATCCTTCAGGAAGCCAGGGTTCTTAAGAAAACTTGGTTTCCATAATCTTCCTTGTGTAAGTGACCTCTTTACATTTTCCAAGAAAGCCAACTGTTGCTCTTTCCCAAAAATCCCATAGTCAATAGGTCTGGATATGGATGTAGTAGACTTGGGACCCGTTTTTGTCCTGCTGCTATACAGAGTCCAATTTTCATTTTCATCAGAGGAGGGAAGTTCAGAAAAAGATTTGAATCTTCGACTGTACCCATTGTTAATAGAGAATTCATCCCCAAGGGTCATTTGACTCAGGGCATTGTCAATGGAAGTACTTTCAGAATAATGGCGCTCCCTGACTTTGGGAGGATGACTTTTGCGTAGCACATTACCATGCACATTGATGCTTTTTAAACTCCTTGAACGATGGAGTTGTGGCTCAGGTTCCCACTCCAGAGATGAGGCACTCTCTTGTTGCTTCTGACAACTGGCCAGTGGGATGTTTATTGTAGATTGCTGTGCAAGCTCCACTGCAAAAGGAGGACTTAGCCTCTCCTGATAGTCAGAGAAGCCTTCTACCCTGAGGCTAGAGAATGTGAACTGGGCTGGGGCTCCTGACCCTTTTTCCAAAATCTGAGCATCTTTAGAATTCTCATGTGTTGGTGGCAATTCTGAGACATGTTTAAAATCATTCTGATGTAGTTGTGAAATTCTGTCAGGTTTCTGATCACTGGGGTGTGTAGACATTTCTCTGTTGGATATTACTGTAGCTTGGAGAGAGTTCTCAGATGTTTTCACATTCATCTCATCATTACTCAACCTGCTTCCATCTGTGGATTCTGTGAACCTTGGCGTAGGCTTAGAGGACAGTGAGTTGCACTCCAGCATGCCAGGAGATAAAGATCCAAAACCAGATCTGCTCTTGCTTTGGGGGAAGATAGTAGCTACATGTCTTCTGGGGCTTAAATCTTTAGATGAGAATTTTCTGTTTGCTTTACACACAGCTGCTAATCTGTGTTTGGCTGAAGATCTGTTTCTGCCTTTTCCTAGGTCTTCGAAGTTGGTTTTATTTTTATTATTTCCTTCAGGAACTGAAGGTTGATCCCATGATGACTTCTGCATTTCATTTTTAGCCTTCCTGCTCTCTGTCATATTTACATCATGACAACTTCGTGGCATTTCTCTAGGTTCAGACTGCAAATTCCGTAAATCTGGGTCACCTGAATAAGTCTCCTCAACAAGTCGTAGTTTATGTAGTGCTGGAATAAGAGCAGAGGCCTGGCTTTCTGAATCAGAAAGTAGATTATCAGTCATTTTCTGGCAATCTGTTCCAACTTCTCCTCTGACTTGCCCCGGTTGTGATCCCTTGGAGCTGTCATCTACAGCTATGGCTGTGATATCTTTCTGAGGACACTTTCCACTTCCAGTAGATAAAATGGTTATGTCACTATCTACATACTCCTCAGAACTCTTTCCAGTTTGAGGGTTTTCAACATTATCTTCTGAATGGTCTGGGAGAAAAGAGGGGCCACCGTTACCTGAATTGATGAATTGTTGGCAATTTTCAGATTTTTCTTCTGTAACATATTTTTTTGGAAGCATTAATGAACTATGCACAGTTCTACTTTGCAATTCTCTCTCTCTCTCTTTCCTGATTTTTGAATCACCTAGAAATGTTCCAGATAAATCATCTGAGAAAATCTCTCCAGCTTTAGAGTCTCCGCTCTGAAAAGAAATATCTGTCTTAACAGAAGCCATTTCCTGGAACATAGGCTCTGAGGATCCCCTATTTGGTAATTGCAGGACAGTCATATTTTCAGTAGTGTCAGAAAGACAATGAATGTTCTTTTGGGCAGAATAGATCGACATCTTTAGATCTTCAGATGAAGGTGCTTTTGACTGGTCATGCATAGAATAACTCAATTTATCTTTTACCAAAACATCAGGAAATGTTTCAGTCTCTACTTGAAGTGATTCTATAAGTGAATTGGTATTTTGTGTATATTGTTGAAGGAGGTCATAAAATTTTTTGCTGTGTTTTCTTGGTAGAGTGTAATATACTGAAACCACTTCAAGACATTTTACATTATCTTCATCACCAGAAACAGAAAACATACTAGTAGTTTTAAATTTATGTAATGTTCTCCCACTCTCTTTTCCTAATACATCTGAGCAAAAAGGTAAAGGGTCTGCATTCAAAAGGGAAAATGTGCCTGTCCTGGAAGCAGCAGTTTTACCATCCTTCTCAGTACACTCTTGAGAATATACCTTTTGGTTGTGTCTTTTGGTTAAAGAATGATCTCTAGCAGATGAGTCACTTTCCACGGAGTTAATAATTTTCTCCTGAGGCTGTGGTGTTATAGCAGAGGCATCTGTGTCTGAGACTGATGATTTTTTTCTTTCATCTTTTCCATTTGAGGCATATGGCTCCCCTGCAGGACATGATACAGTTCTCTTGATGAGGAATGGAAGTGGTCCTTTTCTAACAGAGGCAGATCCAGTGATTTTCGTATTTGTCATTCTTTCTGTGGCTTCAGATGCTCCTGGGACCAAGTCTGAAATTACTTTGGAAGGTTCACTCACTGACTCAGGAAACCTGGGACTGAATTTTTTTGATGTGTACTTCCCTACTGGGTCTTCTACATGGTCGGTGACTTGGAATGGAAGTGGCCCATTCCGAAGTGAAACACCCAATATCTTATTTTCTGACTGTCTACTATTTATGAGAAAACTGGCTGATTTTCTTGGCAAGGTACAATAACTTGAATCAAGCCCAGAAGCTTTGGGATTGCTTTGATTTACCTCAGTGAGGCTGTTGCTATCACTTGCAGGTGTTAATCTACTTTCTGTTTTGCTTAACTTTTCAATACAGGATATGTGACGTCTTACTTTTCCTTTCTTCCTTCCATTCTTGAAAGGAGAGTTTGAATGGTGTTTGGCAGTATCAACTGTTTCATCATGTACAGGCATATCACTGTCACTACTTTTTAGGTTTTCTGAGGGGCTTACAGCAAATTGATTATTTTGGTTTTCACTAACATTGTCTGTTTCTCCTTTTCCCAGAGGTGGATCTTCATCTGAATGACTTCTCCTGAAGAGCGCAGTAGTAGAAGGAATCACAGGAGTATCAAGGAAAGAATTATTTGATGGTGAAGATTCTTCTAGTGCACCTGATGACAGATCAAAAGAATCACATGAGATCTGGCTGGCAGCCAACTTGGTACAGTTGGTGGAGTGAACTGTGGTACATTGTTCTCCCTTGGTATCTAAAATAACAGACTTTTCTAGAGACTGTGCATTTTTATTATCAACAGTTTCAGAAGTCCAGTGGTTATTTCTAATAATGCTTGAAATATTCTCATTACTTACTGTTAATTCCTGGTGACAACTTTGATTTGGCCTGAGGAAAGATGGTGGTGTTCTGCTTTCTTGAATGAATGGAGGGGAAATCGCTAAGCCAAGTTTTCTGTTCCCAGCAAAATTCTTATCTTTTTTAAGTTCACTGGCTTTATCTCTGTGTGGTATGTACATTTGGGAGTTATCTTTCCTTGAAAACACTCTGGATGACCTTTTTGAACTCACTGAGGTAGATTCATTAAGGCCAAACCTCTTGCTCCTGGCTGTGTCCTGATAGAGGGGATTTTGAAAATCAGGTAAAGGGTTAGACATCACTGTCTGTGAAACATGTTGGAGTACTTCACCTGTTTTGCTTGTCTGGTCCATCTTGCTTAGTTGTTTATCTTCTTCTGAAATAGATTCATTTGAGTCTTTCTCATGGTTAACATTTGTGATCAAAATATCGGGCTGGCTTTCAGCAAGAAGCAGAGAATCAACTGAATCATTGTTGGTTGACGTGACTTCTGTGTGGCTCCTTATTGGAAGAGAATCAGGCTTATCTGGAATACACTTCTGCAAACTGACTGTGGGAATCTGAAAGTCTGGACTATGAGGATTTCTTGTGTCATCAGGAATCTGGGGGACGGAAGTCTGGAATGAGGATGCTAGAGTATGAGCCATTTCAAACGAGTAAGGTTCTTTGTTTATAGGTATTTCTACTGGAGAACTGTCATGTTGATATTCCATCCCACCAGATTTGATGTGATAGCTTGAACTAGTCATGGAGCCAACAAGTGGTATAGTGAAATGAGGGGTCACTCGGTTCCCATTACCTTGTGACATCTCCATGTTCTCTTGTGCAGATGTATGAAAATTAGAATGCCAAGAATATGGTTCTTCTGGGCCTGTGGGAAAATCTGTACCAGGAGAAACTGATCCCCAATGTTGAGAAGGAACACTATAGCCATGAACAGCTGATGCACTGTTTTCTTGAACGGAAATCATTTCAAAGTCTCTGTCAGGAGTGAATGGTTTTCTGCTTTGATGAAAGTCTGGCCAGGAAAAATGTTCTTTCTGTTGGCCCCAAAAAGGACTATGTTCAAATCTCTGTTCTCTGCTTCGTCCAAAGGTATTGCTAAAGAAAGACCTAGCAAATAGGTTGTTTCGATGGTAGAATGGCATATTTTCTGAGTTCTCAAATATGTCAGGACTCATCGCATTATTCCTGGTAGAATTTAAACTAACAGGCTGATAAATATTCTGTGAATGGTATAATTCAGGTCTCCTATTCTCTTGAAAACCCTTGGGATATGTATACCAGTCAACAGGGTCAATTTCCATAGGTGAGGGTGCCCTCAAAACCTCTTCTTGGTTCTGCCTATCTCTTGAAGAATCTGATCTATTCCATATAATAGATGATAAAGGAGTTCTCTTTGGGCTCTGTTGATAGGTTGGTAGTCCAAACCCACTCTTATTCTGAGTTGTGGCTGGAAAATGTAAGCTTCTTGCTGTGAAATGTCCTGTGGCTGGTGAGGCTGATCGTTGCCTGCCGTCAAAACACAGAGAAGTACTACCAAAAGTATTCTTTTGCACATAGTCTTCTTTCATGGTTCGGGGCTCCCTTGTCCTGTACATATCATAAATTGTCCTTGTCCTAGGAGAAAAGGTTTTAAAACCTTCCCTAGGAGTTCCTGGCCTTAGGATGTCATAGATAGACATCTTTGAGGTTTCATTGTAGCGATTTTTGTGTCTTCCAATGATACTATTATGCCTGTTCCCACTGGAGTAAACATGACTGAACTGCATTCTTGATTCATAGTTGTGGGATGGTCTGGTATTCACTGAGCTTGCAGCTTGCTCCTGAGCCAGTTTGCTATCCAAATCATCTAAAACTGAAAAGAGGATATGAATCAATTTTGGTTTTGTGTATGACTTTATAATTTAATAATAATTTGAGTTGTTGGAGGTTCTTTGAGAAACATAATCACTTATCATTTTATTCTTACAATATTATCATAAATGTGATGAAATTAATTTTGAATATGCTTTTAAGATAGCCTAACTTTTAGAAGATTGCAACAGAAGTTTTTTTTCCCACACCTTTTTTTTTTTTTTCTTTTAGGGATTTTTTCTATAGGGCTTGTGCGTTCACCAGAGAGACAGAAAGTAAATCACCCTCAGGGGGATGGCCACGGCGTAATCTGTTCTCCTCCGTTCTCTTGGGACTTTGGGCACATATGCACATGTGTCTGGTGTTGAATTTCAAGCCACCAGATCTTGGCCTCAAACTGCGGTTGACCATGTGGGAGTCCAGCACCTTAACTACCAACCACCTGTTGGTCTCCACACAAAAGTATAAAAAATTATACTTTTTCAAAGTACATCTCCATAATGCCTCAATTACATAAAGCTATATTTTTTCCTAATAATGGATTTTTATCATGGTTTCTTTAGTACATCTAATGTATACTGAGGTTTGTTTTGTTTTGTTTTGCCATTGGGCACCTATGCTCGCTGGAAAGAGACAGAGACAAAGTAAGAAATCACCCACAGGGCAATGAGAGAAAGTGAGAGAGAAAGTAAGAGAGAGAGAAAGTAAGAGAGAGAGAAAGTAAGAAATCACCCACAGGGCAATGGCCTTGCCACAATCCCTTCTTCTCCATTCTCCTCCTGGGATTTTGGACATCCATTCACATGCGCCTGGTGTGATTTTTTTCAAGTCATTATGTCTGGGACTCAAACCATGGTTGGTCACGTGGGAGTCCAGTGTCTTAACCACCACACCACCTGCTGGCCCCAAGTATACTGACTTTTTATAAGCCATGGGCTAGTGGGCCAACCTCATAACACAGCAGTTTAGTCCTGTGCACAGGAAGCTGGATTCCACACAGCCAATTGTGTTTTGAATCTGGTCCCAATGCCTTGAAAAACACACTCAGTGTGTGTGTGCACACTCCAAATCCTGATGGGATGGAGAGATGCAGGAAAAAGGATTGTGGCCCCATGGGGGTACTTTCTCTCTCTCTTCTCTCTGGCAAACACAAGCACCCTCACAAGACAAGCTAGTCATAAAAGAGAACTAGTAAGTAAATTGCAGTATCACTTATACCACTGAATAACAGGGTAATTTTGGGTATTATTAAGCTGTATCTTTCAGTTTCTTTCATGTCACTTAGTCACTATAACATTTCCAACTAAGGGCCAGTGGGTGGTGTGGTGGTTGAGGCACTGTACTGTGGTTGGAGTCCTGGCAGCCTGCTTTCCCACTTTCCCTCTCTTTGCTCATATTAAAAAATAAAATAAGTAAATAAATATAATATAATAATTCCTTTAAAAACTATTTCCACCTGTATTTACCTCATGAGATTGTAACAGAAATGAGATTCTATAAATAGTGTGCTATTTCTCATTTGTATTGTTAAGAAAATGGCATTACCACTGCTACCATCTAATTTCTTTTTTTTAATTATTTAATTTTATTTATTAATTCATTTATTTTAATTTGTCTAGAGACAGAGAGAGGGAGAAAGTGAGAGGGCAAGCTGCCAGGCCTGGGACTTAAACCATGATCAGTCATGTGGGAGTGTCCAGCACCTTAACCACCACACCATCTGCTGGTCCCCTGTTACCATCTAATTTCTAAACATACGTAGTTGAATGTACTTGAGCAATACAGATAATTAAAAATTGGGGGGTTGGAGCCACCAGGTGACATGGTGGTTGAAACGCTGGACACTCCCACATAGTTGACCATGGTTCGAGTCCCAGACCTGGTGGCTTGCTTTCTGACTTTCCCTCTCTCTCTCTCTGATCAAATTAAAATAAATGAATGCATAAATAAAAATTAAAATAAATAATTATTTATTAAAAATTTTAAAAAATTGGGGGGCCAGCAGATGGTGCAGTGGTTAAGGTGCTGGACTGCCATATGGCTGACCATGGTTTGAGTCCCAGATCTGGCAGCTTGCTTTCTCACTTTCCCTTTCTCTCTCTCTCTGTCTCTTTCTGGTCAAATTAAAAAAAAATAATAGTAACAACAAAATAAAATAAATAATTCTTTTAAAATTATATAATATTGTTAAGTGATACGCTAATGGTAGATCATTTTTTTCTGGAAAAATTGGGATCCATTAACATTCATATAAAAGATTATTTCTATGTGTCAGGCTCAGTTCTAAGCACTTAATATATTGACTCATTAAATCCTCACATAACCTTACAAGGTTGGTACCATTACTATTCTCATTTTGTAGTAAAGAAAATGACACATGGGGAGATAAGTAAACTGCCAGGGTCACACACCTCACTGAGCCCTTACTCTGTGTCTCTTGAGTCCAAGCATTCAACCACTGTGCACTGCAACCACTGGGCTATAAAAGGTCACATTTCATTTTTTGCTTTTTATGAACTATAAAGATGATTTCACTGCAAGACAAACTCATAGTTTTACAATAATGTGAAGCTGCTGTTGTCAAACCATGATTACTTTTCTCTCAGTAACAAGGCCAGAGGATGGTGTCCACATCAAGACCCAGTGACCTAATAATACCAAGGACCTAGGCCACGTCAAGACCCAGGGCTCATGCTTACTAGAACCACAGTCTCTATGATCTCAGGCAAGTAATTACATATTTTCAGTGATATAGTTGGTATTTTCAAATTGTATTTATTTAATCATATATTCCACTTTCTCTCAGTAAAAACCTGTTAGGATTTGAATGGCATCACATTTTTAAAATGTTTTTATTAAAATTTTTGTCACAGGGCATGTGCGTTCACCAGCGATAAATAGAGAGCCTGAGAGGGAAAGTGAGGAATTACTCCCTAGGGGGGATGGCCATGCCACAATCCCTTCTTTTCTCATTCTCATCCTGGGATTTTAGGCATGTTCACACATGTACCTAGCATGATTTTTAAGCTACTGGGTCCAGGACTGAACCATGGTTAACCATTTGGGAGTCCAGTGCCTTAACTACTATGCCACCTCCTTGCCTAAGAACCATCATTTTTAAAGTATTTTTTTAGACGTTTTTTTAAAAAGAATCAGTGTAATAGATATATTTAATCACATTCTTATCACAATCAATACAAATACAGTTATGTATTTATTGAAGAAATATTCATTAGTGAAAATAAAATCCAACATGAAAATAAATTATAATATTATTTAAGTGTATTATTTATATTGCTAAAGAAATTTTTGGCTCATAGAAATCTTGTTTCTTTTAATTGCCAGAGGGTGTATGTGCTCATCAGAGATAAAAAGACAGAGAGAGAGGAAGAAGGCACTCCCCAGTGGGGGTGTGGTCACACCATAATTTCTTCTCTTCTATTTCTCCATCCTGTTGGAATTTTGGGCAATGTGTACACGTGCCTGGCATGTTGTTCAAGCTACTAGGAGTGTGATTTGAATCACAGTTTGCTGTGTGAGATCCAGTTCCCTTAACCATTAATGCTCTGGGGCTGGTCCCATAAGTCTTTCCTTCTGAGTTAAATAAATGGTGTAGTCTCCTTGATTATTTTAAATTGCATTAAAAATGTTTACTGTGGGATGATCAGATTGGTTGTGTCACTGGACTCCCACATAGCCAACCGCAGTTCAAGTCCCGGACCCAGCAGCTTGAAACTAATGTCAAGTGCATGTGCATTCATGTCCAAAATCCTGAGAAGAGAGTGGAAGAGAAGAGATTGTGTCATGGCAATCCCCCTTGGCAGTGGATGAGGGGTGGGCGAGTTCTTGCTTTCTTTCTCTTTGTCTCTCCCAGTGAGCACATGTGCCCTTTAGCAAAAATCTCTCTAAAAAAATTATTTTTAATACAACTGTATAATGAGAAGGCAACTGAGGCAAATCAATGTCTGAGCACATGTGACATGCCAACTATTTAGCACAGGCGCTAAAGGGATTTGTGATGTCTGTTCTGGATCTTCCCCACTCCATTTTGTTTGTAGATTGGTTCTATTAAGTCTACACAGCTAACAAAAGAACTAATCTTGAGTGTTATGAATCTGTAACTAAGGAAGTCTGTAAAATCATCCAGTCAATGTTTTAATGAAAAAATATTTATTTATTCTTACTTCCCAAAATAATACATTCTCTATATCTAGAAGAGACTTAAGCACTGCCAAAATATAATATGGTTCTAAAATAGAGCCATGAATTAAAAATTATCTTTAAAACAAATGATAATGGACCAGCAGGTGGCGTAATGGTTACGTTGTAAACTCCCACGTATTTGACCACGATTCGAGTTCTGGACCCAATGGCTTAAACTCAGGTTAGGTGCATGTGTGCACCTGCCCAAAATCCTGAGAGGAGACTGGAGGAGAAGGGATTGTGGTGTGCTCATCCCCCTGGGGGTGATTTCTTGCTTTCTGTCTGTCTGTCTCTCTCTCTCTCTCTCTCTCTCTCTGTATCTCCAGTAAGCGCATGCTCCCTGTAGCAAAAATCTCTCAAAAAACAAAAACAAAACAAAAAAATAAAACCAACAAATGATAATAAAAAAGCTCTTTGATCTTCATCTCTAGTTTCCCTTTTAAGCTGTTTATGCTTTTATTCCCCCCTTACATCTTTTCCTAATTAAAAAAGCAATCAATATATGGCAGGGGTCTTTAATTAAAAAAGCAATCAATATATGGCAGGGGGCTTAGAAAGGTCAAGGAAAATGCATATTATGAAAAAAAATAGATTTCAGGTTTTTTGTACTAAAGCTCATACTCTTTAAAAATTTTTGCCAGAGGGCATATATGCTCACTGGAGAGAGGGAAGATGAGAAAGCATCCCACCCCCAGAGGGAGGGGGTCAAATCTTAATCCTTTCTCCTATTACTTTCTTCTTTCAAGGTTTTGGGTACACATGTGTGGCACCTGGCATGCTTTTCAAATCATCAGGTCTGGGCTCCAACCATATAGCTCACCATGTGGGATGCAGTCACTTTAATCACCATGCCACCTGCTGGCCTTAAACTCATACTTTGATCCCATTTTTTCCATGAACTTTTGAAAGTCTTCTTATTTAGGTACAATAGAAAATACAGAAAAGTATAACAAAAGAGGTGAAATAACTTGGGATCCTATCAGGTAACCATTATTAACATCCTCATAATAGAATTTTTAAATTATTCAAAGTCAGTTAGAATCCCAAATTAACAATGGTATTTTACTCATACTCCTGAAGTCAGAAAAATTCCCATTCTTTCTTTTCGGAAAGCTCAGTTTACTTTTTTCAATCCATAAACAGTAGCTCTTCTTTTCAAACAAAACTTGGGAACAGAGATTTTCCTCTAGGTTTCTGCTAGGAACCTTCTTACTGAAGGAAGTTCCTTGGGTAACTAACTGTACCACACAATAGAATCAAGGTGTTGTCATTACCTTTGCAAATGGAATTAAGTTCCTCAAAGTGAAGCTGATAAATGACTTTACAGTTAAGTTTTCAAATAACCAGGCTTATTTTGACACGGTATAACCAATTTAAAGGTAGACTATGATTATACAATAACAAGGTACATGTGGTACTTTTGGAATCTATCTCAGTTGTTATCATTATCTATTGTACAAAGTTAATTGTATAATGACAATTAGATTTCATCATAGTGCATTCAGGTCCTAATCAGGAACAATAAAAGTCTATTATGATAGACTTTTTAGATGTATTTCTGAAAGATGTATTTCCTTTTTATCTGAGGTTAAATATTAAACATTATGGGACCAGCAGTTAGTGTAATGACTTTGTCACTGGGCTCCCATGTAGGGGACCACGGTTCATGTCCCAGACCCGGTGGCTTAAAACTCACACCGGGCACGTGTGCCTGCATGCCCAAGATCCCAAGAGGAGAACGGAGGAGAAGGGATTGCGGCGTGGCCATCACCCCTGGGGGGTGATTTCTCACTTCTTTCTGTCTCTCTGTCTCTCTCTGTCTGTCTGGCGAGCACACGCGCCCTATAGCAAAAACCTCTCAAAAAAAAAAATTAAACATTATTGCCATTCTATATATCTATCAGTCCTCAATCTGAGAATATTTGCTTAGATTATTTTTATCACAAGGTTCATTAATATTTGTGCTAATAACATGTATCAGTATCCCTTTCAGATAAGAAAAACAAAAGGGCTTGAAAAATATAGTGTTTGTTATGTTTCGAGCACATTAAAACAAACTGTAGTTATTTGCCTTGGTAAATTTAGTACCAGGAGTTCCCAAGAGAATTTTTTTAAGTTTTATTTTTATAAAGCCAAAATTACAGAACATTTTAATGCCTAGACTTACCTTGGAAAAACTCATTTTCCAGCAGTGAAGAATCCCATGGAGAAGGCATGCCACTTCCTTCCCTCATGCCTGCTGGCTTGGGGGCAAATGCACTACCAACTGGTTGATTTTCCGGAGGTGAATTGTATTTTTTTGCCTGCTAATTTTAAAATAGAAAACACAATATCATTTCTGGACCTTTTCTAGCCCAATTATGTATATGTTCTCAAAAAATGCCACAAGCTTAAAAGTCCTTGTCTAAGGACTACAGATAAATTTTCCTAATACTTATTTTTCAGCTTACAGTGTTTTATTGTATTTGTCATTAGCGAGTAATCATGAACTTCTCCGTACCTATATTAATTCTTTTAATTGCAAGTCTTCAAGTAAGATATTGAGCTCTCTGTCCTATGTTACACAGCACTACATAAATCTAAGGGGTGGAGCTCCTGGGAGACAGGACAGGAACTGACCTCTCTTAAGTTGGAACTTGGTTTCAAACAACTAAGTTGTCTCCTTGGCCTCAGTGGCTTGGATTGCGGATTCCCTAACACTGTACTTGTTTTATTAAGAGCCTATTAGCTGAAGCTTGCAGTGGACCTTAAGATTTGTAAACTTGGGACCAGCAGATGGCGTAATGGCTATGTCACTGGATGCCCACATGGCAAACTGGAGTTCAAGTCCCGGACCTAGAGGGTTGAAACTCATGCCGGGCACGTGTGCATGCGTGCCCAAGATCCTAAGGGGAGAATGGAGGAGAAGGGATTATGGCATGGCCAACCCCCCCGGGGGGATTTTTTGCTTTCTGTCTCTGACTTTTCAGTGAGCATATGTGCCCTATAGCAAAAATCTCTAAAAAAACAGAACAAAAACAAAAACAAAGATTTGTGAACTTGACAGATTTAGGAGGAAAAAAGTATTTCTGCCCAGAAATCATCCAGAAAGTTAGAACCCTCTAGCCAGCCGTAAGGAGATAATTTTTTTTTTAAAAAAAGAATTACTTATCATTATGATTATGTTTTAATTTGCTCCAAGGCTCTTTCACTCATAAGAGAGAAAGAGAAAGTGAGAACGCAAGCCGCCAGTTCTGAGACTCAAACTGTGGTTTGCCACATGGGAGCCTAGCACCTTAACTACTGCATCACCTGCTGACCGCAGGAGATAATTAAATAATTAAGAAACAGAGGCACTTCGGAAAGTATGACTATATATATATATATGTATACACACACACACACATATATTCCGTTTTGTTTATTTTGTTTTATGTGGTGTGTACATGTATAATTTTTTTTTTTTAAGGCAAGATCTCATTGTGTCACAATCCTCCTGCCTCTGCCTTCAGAGGGGCTGGGACTACAAGTGCACACCACTGTACCCAGCTATCACGATGCCTGGTAATAGAACCTGAGACTTCCATGTGGTCTTAGTCTGCCAAGCAATAATGTCCAGTACTTACTACTATGGCTGGGTCAAATATTTTTTCTTCTTTAACTATTGCTAGTTTTAAAGGATTTAGAATTGTGATATGGAGCTAAAGTTATTTTCTTTTTAAATTACCAACCGTTTATCTTGATTTCATCTAATTCAATCACTGCCCTAATTTGAAGTGTTGTCTTCATAACCTTGAGTGATTATCCACTCCCACACCTTCACTTTCTTGTGCCAAAACTTCATTTGCATTTCCTCTGTCAAACTGGCTCTGACACTCATAGCTTCATTGTAATTCATCCTGCACTTCTTTCTTTCTTTTTTTTTAATAATTAATTTAACTTTATTTATTTATTTTAATTTGCCCAGAGAGGGACAGAGTGAGAGCAAGAGAGAGAGAGAGAGAGCAAGCAAGCCGCCAGGTCCGGGACTCGAATTGTGGTCAGCCATGTGGGAGTCCAGTGTCCTTAACCACCATGTCACCTGCTGACCCCCTGCACTTATTTCCGAACAAGGTTGGCAGTCACTTCCCTTTCTGTCTCTTTATTTTGGGCCTACTTTGCTATCCCATCCTTGTGCCTTCAATCCCTCTCCTCCCCAAGTTTTCCTTTTCAATTTAATATTCACCATTACATTTAATCTCATCTTTAATGCCTAACCCCAAATGTCTAACCCTCCCAATGCTCCAATCTTTTAATTTATCCATCATGGGTGGGTCCAACACTAAACCCTAGGGTTTCTTTTTTTTTTTTTTTTTGGAGAAATTTTTGCTATAGGGTGCGTGCGCTCGCCAGACAGACAGAGAGAGACATAGAGACAGAAAGCGAGAAATCACCCCCCAGGGGGGATGGTCACGCCGCAATCCCTTCTCCTCCATTCTCCTCTCGGGATCTTGGGCACGCACGCACATGCGCCCGGCGTGAGTTTTAAGCCACCGGGTCCAGGACGCGAACCACGATCGACTACGTGGGAGTCCAGCGACATAGCCATTACGCTAACTGCTGGTTCCCAAGCCTAGGGTTTCTTAGCCCTTACATTCCTTACAATTTAGTATTTTCAGTTCTGCCTGTTTCTTTCTCAAGGTCTAAGTCAATTATTTCTTACAGAAGCCTGCCCTAATTTCACTGACTCCTAGTTTTTACTTTTAGGGGCAAGTCGTAATTGACTACTCAAACAGATTTGTTAATAAGGAAGAAATGTCCTCATGGTAACTTATTGGTCATTGGATATAAATTAACACATCAATATAAAATTCAGAAGAAAAAAAGGTTTTAGAAGCAAAACATAAATAATCTGAGGTAATTTCTGTCTCTCTCTGTCTCTTTGGCGAGTACACGTACCCTATAGCAAAAACCTCAAAAAAACCCATAAACCTGTGAGTTATTGACTCTTCCCAAACCTGCAGTTTTAGTAGTTGGTGCAGAGTAGATATATCTGACTCAGAGAATACCAATCATCATTGCCTTTTTTTCCCCTCCATTTTCCTCTTGCAGTCTTGGGCACGCATGCACACGCACCTGGCGTGAGTTTAAGCCTTTGGGTCTGGGACTCGAACCGTGGTCGACTACATGAGAGTCCAGTGACATAGCCATTATACCAGCTGCTGGTCCCTCCCAAACATTATTGCCTTTCAACCATTCAGATTCCTCTGTGCAGACTAGACTACATTCCTTGTGGTATCCTGGATCACATCTTTTTAGAATGAAAATTTACAGTGAGGGGCTGGCAGATGGTGTGGTAGTTAAGGCACATGGCCAACCGTGGTATGAGTCTCAGACATGGTGTCTTGCTTTCTCACTTTCTCTCTCTCTCTGGTGAGCACATGCACCATAGCAAATTTAGAATAATAATAAATAAAATTAATTTTTTAAAATAAGAAAATGAAAAGTTCATGAACTGAGGAGTCAGATGAAGAGATGAACTCCTCTAGGCTGAGAAGGATCACTGCCATCTAGAGATCCTGAGTATAACTTCCTTTCATTGTATTTCTGCTCAGATCTTCTACCTCAAGATCAACTCTACTCACCCAGTATGTTCACTTAACACGTAGAGATATAAACTATGCGGCTAACTAAGAGCAAATATCAAGGGTTTACTGAAAATCAGTTTTAACTTTGCAAGTTTTTTTCTATTTTATTTTCTTTGCTTATAGTGACAAACTTTTCTTATAAAGTAATCACTATCAGTGGTACATATCAGACATAAAGAAGATTGAATAGTATCTCTGCTCTGTACACCCTTATTTAAGCTATATGTGAGATATTACTATCAGCAGAATCAGCAACTAAACACTGTTTACTCTAGGCAATGTGTTAAAGGCTTTATATAGGTTACTTTATTATTTTAATAATCCCATGAGGTTGGGACTACTATTACTGGACTTTGAAAAAAATGAGATTTCAAGAGGCTGGGTCATTACTTCAGGTTACAGTGGAGGAGGGAGAGGATTCACCTGCAGTCTGTTGGATTCTAGACCCCATGTGGAATCACCTCACTGTACCCCTGATGGAGTTTTGTAGCTTTTGGCTTAGTAGAGCACCATATCCTAGCAGTAGGCATTCTCTGAAGTCAATGTCAGGTCTCAGAGCTGCTGAAAAGCGTCTGAAGTTTCTCCTGGAGAGCAAAGGTAAATCTCTCCAGGGCCCAGAGTAGACACAATCCTTCCTCAGGGCTGTCTTGGATTCAGAATCTCCCTCAAAATACTGATATAATTTAAAGTAAGAAGAATGAACTTTGATCTATTTTCTCAAGTGATAAGTTTGAGGTTTTATTATCTCAAATTGTTATCTCACTGTAGTTACGTTTGCTTCTAAAGTAGCGCAGAGTTGCCATAAAAGGTCAAGCCTATTTCCAATCCTGGTGTGCGCTCGCCAGAAAGACAGAGACAGAGAGATAGAAAGCGAGAAATCACCGCCCCCCCCCCGGGGGGGCCGGCCACTCCACAATCCCTTCTTCTCCATTCTCCTCTCGGGATCTTGGGCATGCATGCACATGTGCCCAGCATGAGTCCAAGCCACCAGGTCCAGGACTCAAACAGCAGTCAGCTACTTGGGAGTCCAGTGACATGGCCATTATGCCATCTGCTGATTCCTTCTTCTGGACTTTTACACACATTCTTGTTCACTCATTTACTACTAGTTTTCTTATATTTGAACAAAATTACTATGTATTCCATTTTCAATATACTTTTTTTAGAATGATTTAATTTTATTTCTCACTATTATTATTATTTTTAAATTTGCTACAGGGCAAATGTGCTCACCAGAAAAAGAGAGACAGAGAGACAGAAAGTGAGAAAGTAAGCCTCCAGGTCTGAGTCTCAAACTGCAGTCGCCCATGTGGGATTCCAGCATCTTAACCACCACTCTTGCTGCTGACCCCTTCACTATACTTTTTTAGTACCGTCTCTCATTAGATCCTTACAAAGAATTTGTGAATTATGTACAGATTATCATTACCATTTTGTACATGGGAGTCTCATGTAAGTGTTTTTAAGTCACATGAATAATGTATTTTGGTATACGCTATCATACACATATGATCTAATCCTTAATTTTGTTCTTTCCTTATGTTGCCTTTTATTAACATACACATCTTCAATGAGATGATAAACTCTGAAGAAAAGAGCCTTGCCTTAAACATTCCATTCCCTTCCTTGTATGTGGCATGATACTTTGCATATAATTATAAACTGATTTAAGACATCCTGAAGTTTAAAACTACATATATAAGATTTCTAGTAAAGATTATTACAGAAATTGAGAAACATTAGGGCTCAGAAAAGCATGTTGGAAGCAGGACAGCATACTGGTTGAGTATATAAGCTGTACATAGATTCAAATCCTGTCTCTACTCATTGATAGCTCTATGGGGGCCAGGTGGTTGTGCAGTGGCAATGCAGTAGGACCTACATGGACAAAGTCCTGTGTTCCTATCCTGTGACCTTTGTGAGCATGTTGCATGTGTTCACACATGCCCATGATCCAGGCTGGCTGTTTCTAGGGGTAGATCACAGTGTGGAGATTTTGTTGGGAGTACTTGTCTCTCTTTCTCTCATAGAATGAATGAATAAATTAATTAATTAATGACCTTGGGCAAGTAACTTAACCTCTCTGTACCTTAGTTCTTTACTGGTAAAATGAAAATAAGGGCCAGCAGATCCAGGTGCTTAAGGCACTGGATCTCACATGGCCAGCTAGGTGTTTTGGACCTGGTGGCTTGAAAAACATGTCGGGTGCATGTGTGTGTCCAAAAGTCCAAAGAAAAGAATAGAGGAGAAGGGACTGTGGTGCGGCTATCCTCTCGGGGGTGATTTCTCACCTTCTCTTTTTCTTTGCCCCCTCCCCTCTCCAGCGAGTGTACGCACCCTATGGCAAAAATCTTAACCAAAAAAAGAAAGAAAACAACACTACCTCTCCTAGGGCTGCTGTGAAGGTTAAGTGGCTCAATAGTTGGAAAACAGTGTGGTGACTAGCACTTAGTCCTTCCTATTGGCTATTACTATTATTTTGTGGTTATAGAGAATTTCCTGGAGGACGTCAGCTGATGCTTGTAGCCTAATGACCTAGAAAGCTATCCCACAGGGTCAGAGCCCAAAGTCTTGGAATACTGGCTTTCCAGATTTCAGTTAAATTCTCAAATATGGCACATAAAATAGACTGAGCTAAATGAGGCCTTTACACACCTCCAATTCACTCTACTGATATTGTCTGTGATTCTGACATGACTAGACAAATAAACCTACTGCCACAGAGTAACCTTAGAATATTTGAGTACTTCCTAGAGCAGCCAAACCTGCAGAACGGCTGTTAGAACTGAAGCCTAAGCGCACCGATAGTATCAAATGCCTAAGTAAAGTCAACAAAATTTTTTTTCAAGGTGTTCTTGACTTTGTTTTGTGTCTGTTTTCCTGTGTAGATCACATCCACAAATGTACTTGTGGCTTAAAACCACTCCTTCATTTCTTTTTCCAGTTACCGGGTGCTCAGGTTGTGCCAGAGCGTGGGGATACACAAGAATGTATGATACAATCCCTGCCTTAGAAAGCTCACACCAAGCCACTGCAGTACGTGCCACATTGAAGGTGTGTTCCTAGGGCTACAGAGCTGGCAGTATTCCCCAGCAGTAGGCTCTGCCTGAGTTTGTTCAGAGATGAGGCGTGATCAAGTGACCCAGGCCATAAATTTTGTCTCTGTTCTCAAAGACGATGTGTATGTTGGACTCTTCACCTGTAAGGAGATGATTCTCAACTGGGGGCTACTTGTTCCCAGGTAATACCTAGCTAAGTCAGGAGGCCTGCCTGCCTGCCTGCCTACCTTCCTCTGTCTTTCTTTCTTCTTCTTTTTCTTCTTTTTTTTTTTCCTATAGTGTGTGTGTGCTTACTGAAAAGAGAAAGACAGGAAAAGTGAGAAAGCACTTCCTCTGGGGGGATGGCCATGCCACAATCCCTTCTCTGCCACTCTCATCTAGGGATATTCAGCATGCACACACATGTACCTGGCATGTTTTTCAAGCTGCCATATCTGAGTCTCAAATCACACAGTCAGTCAGCCATGTGGGATTCAGCTGCCTTAACCATCATTTCACCAGCTGGCCTTGGGGGTGTGTCTGACTGTTACACCTAAGTGGGGGAACGCTACTGAAATCTAGTAGGTGCAGACTAGGAGGCTGCTAAACATCCTGCAACACACCAACAGCCTCCCCACAGCAGAATTAATCAGCCAGAAATGTCAGTAGTGCTGAGGCTGAGAAAAACACTGGGCTAGATGATCTTTTAGTTTCTTTCCAATTATAAAAATCCTGTTTTCTGAAACCTTTGTTTCTTTTAAGCTTATGCAAATGTTTAAATAATAGCTTCCTTCTTTTCTGAGTGGAAAGTCATCCAATAATGTAGTACGACCTTCCATAAAATGCTGGAATCCCCTTTGTACCATTCCTGCCAGGTTGCCACCAACTGGCCAGAAGTGCATCACTGCAAATCTTGGCAAGAATCTCTGTGGTATCAATGGTCAACTTCCAGCTCTCTGTAGGCTAAGGAGATGGAGCTACCATGAATAAATAATGGGAATCTACATGTCACATAGAACTCATGTTTTAGACAGTAGTTTCATTATTTTCTCTCCTACTTTTTATAATAGTTATTATCTGGGAGTAACAGTCACTGGTTTGAGCTTAATTTATTTGCCCAGCTC